CACAGTATTTTAATAGGCAAGCACACAAACCCGAATGGGATACTGTCCCTCATTGTTGCAGAGAGCAAGAATTTGGTTTAGTTTTTACATTTTCCCCACTTGGTCTCAAAAGCACCTTCTCTGCCATTCCTCCGTTGCAGGGCTGCTGACGTGATGTTTGTAAGAGTGGGATGACACTAGGAAAATCACGCCATGCCCAGCACAGCCTGCAGAGCAAGAGTTTCAAGAATGGCTAGTGCCTTGGAATTTGGGGTGCGCAGCTTGAGATGCTGTCATTCAATGGCTCCCTATAACAGTGACATAACTATCCTACTGCCCTCACTTAGTGTCAACACTCCTATAGGACATAAGTGAAGTTGACTAGAAGTAGTGTGGGATTAACGTAGACCAGCCCTGAGAAAGATCCAGGATAAATACAACCCAGTGACAAGTTGGTTGTCCAGCAATGTGGAACACCCATTGCTTAATGCAGGCATGTCCAAAGTCCAGCCTGCGGGCCAATTGCGGCCAGTGTTCCGGTTTAATACGGCCACACAGGTAATTTGGCAATATCTATCTTTTATGGCCCCCAACGAATCCATATGTATTGAGATGAATACATTGTAAAATCTCAGTTAATGTCAGTTGGTCTAAATCAGTTATAAATATATTTGGACGCAACATGTATACTTGGTGTTATGTTCCTGTTCATATTTTTTTAACTTAAAAGTTGACAACCTTTATTACCAATAATATGTAATGTACTTTACAATGTTCCTGACATATATTTCAGCTTCCTGGATTTTTTTTTTTTCATCTGGCCTTCAGATATGAAAGGCAGAGTGATTTAACATCTGTTTAGATTTGTCATCCATGTGACAAAATGAAAAGTATGCCGTTTGCAATAAACTTTGCATAAAATAGTTAATTTGCATTTAATTTTAATGGTTCAAAGAATGTCAGGCAAAATGGTCGGCCCTCACGCATGTTCACTTCATCAAATCTGGCCCTCTTTGAAAAAAGTTTGGACACCCCTGGCTTAATGCATATTATAGAGAAAATTCACATTTTTCGTGCTATTTTGTGTTCAGTCGAGTGTAGACTGTCACAGAGGAAGTGCACACACCGTGCTCTCTCTCGCTAATGTTACACTTGCTATTACTTGTTTGCTCTTACTTCACTTAAAATACTGGATAGTGGAATGGAAATCAACTTTCTCCTCCTTGTGCCTGGACACAAAGCAGGTGACAATATGTAGAATAAACCTATAGAAAGGGCAAGAGAGTAGCAGGATGGTGGGCAAACACTGCCAGATATCACACAGAACACCCCTGGCACTGCATAATGAAATCAACACGGTTAG